ATCCAACAACATTTGACCTTCTAATAAAGAACAGAAGGCATAATAACATCTGGCTTCTTATAAAGAGCAAATTGGACTTCCTTTGATTTGTTAAATAAGAGTGTGGAAAAATTCAATATTAGCTATCAACCACTTCTTACAGGATAAGTTACCCTGAAGGAATTTTAGATGGGCCAAATTACGGATCAGCCTTTTGAAACATCTGGTGCAGCAATGCTTAGGATGATTTATTTGACGGTGGAGGGTAGGTTTAATTTAATGTTAGCTATCAACCATATCTTTAGATGTTTGATTTTGACATGCAATATCTTGGAAAATGCATTTGGGGAAGGTAGAATAGAAATAAAAATAATAAAATATGATCACGCAGTCAAGCTGAATAAAAACATTTAATAAATAAAAAAATTATTTTTTTATTTACTTTACCCAATTTGTCTTTTTTACAACACGACAATCAAATTTGTATTCCTAAATTTTTCTTGAGCAAAACATCAACCTCGGATTGGAAGTCCATGGACAAGGTTGGCGCCGGCCAACTACGCTAATAAAGGAACTCTAGGGGCATGGACATCGTGGTCTTTTTAAAACACACGAGAATAAATTATTGATACGCTCTCCAGGCAGCCATTTCTTTATTAGTCAATTAATTAGTCAAGTTTACTATTAATTAAAATGTTAGATGGTAATTTAACTTGGTCAGGTTTTAATTTTATTTTTTAATAATTATAAATTTAAATTTGTTTAAGATTACTGAAAATTTATATAATTATTAATTTTAAAACTTATGAGATTAATTAAAATATATATAACTGATATTTATATTAATTAAAAAAAATGATAGAAGGTATACAGTTGCCACACGGTGCTTGAGTTTTGCGCTCGTGGGTGTAAAGTATACCTCTTCCGGTGATCTTTAATGCAACTTTTCAGAAATTAGAAGAATAAAAACCAGCTCCATACGCTCTGAAACTTAAATAAAGTCAATACAAATGGATCACATGAAAAACAAATCACCATACCACTTGCAAATCAAAGGAAATCAAATATCCAGGCAAGAAGAAAAAGAAGTCAAAGGACTAAAATGTAAAAATTTATGGTAACTTTATATAAATAAATAAGCAGTATTTAGGCCTCTTAGTTTTATTTTATTATAAAATAACTTCTTAAAAATAATTGAATTGATTATAACATTGTGGCCGTAATTTAACTAAACTAGTTAATTAGTTGTTGTAATTTTAAAAATATATTTTTAATTTAAATTATCTTAAATCTATTTATAATTAAATACTTTCATCAATTTCATGTATTTTCAGTGAATTTATTTTATTTTTAAATTTTTGAAAAAAAATGTATTTAAGAATGGAAATTTGATTAGAGGAGAACGTATTTTAATTTGAAAAATATAAATCAGGAATGATCAATCAATGTTGATCAAAATATTATTTACTATTTTTTTAACATTACAATTACTTATTAATTAACTATCCACAAGCGGATCAAATTCCTTTTCCAATAAAAAAATTGAATAAGCAGCCTTTAGTACTATTTTTTTCCTTTTCTTTTTCACTTTTTGCATAGAAACAACCTAAATAAAAATAAAAAAAAACTTTATATATGCATCTAATTAAATAAATTGTAAACTTTCTATGTGAATGAAAAAATTAAATGATAATAACTAAAAATAAAATTAAAAAATAGATATAGATCAAGCTATTTGATCTTAAAACATGAGTCATTTGTCCGATTGTATTTAATAAATTTGTTTATTAAAAATATTATTTTTTATTTAATCAAACAATAATAAAAATAGATATACATGTGAAATCAATTAAACAAGATATGGTTTTTTTAAAACATGATTTAGCTTTTTTAATTAAAAAGATTATAAATCTAAATTCTCTACCAACCTAGTATTTTAAAAAAAATCAACAAAGATAATTTTAGAAGAAAAAATCCATGAGAAAAAATGTTGTAGCCACTAACAATGTTTTGTGAGAAAAACTACAATAATTTATCCAATAAAATCGAAAAACGATAATTTAGAAAAAATCACAAAAAATCATTTATATAAATAATATAGCAATCCACAGTGTTGTGAGGAAAACAACAATGATTTCCCTATATGATTTAGTTTTATTATAATTATAATTTTTAACCAACACAACATCTAAAAAAAATCAACAAAGATAATTTTGGAAAAACTCATATGGGACAACACTGCAACAATTCTCAGTGTTTAAAAAAAAATACAAAGTTAAATTATTAATTAACTTATTATCAAAAAAATAAAATTAACAAAGATAATTTTAGAAAATAATATATAAAAAACACAAAAAAATCATGTTGGAAACGTTATAACAATTCATATTTTTGTGACGAAAGCTATAATGTTTCCTATATGATTTAGTCTTATTTGTAAGGACCTGTAAGTATAATTTTCAACTTGATTAATATCAATAAAATAAAACTGATAAAGATAATTTTAAAAATATTATAAGAAAAAAAACTATATGGAGAGATACTATAATAATTTATAGTGTTTTATGAGGAAAACTACAGTATTTTCCCTACATGATTAAACTTTATTATAAAGTTAAATTCTAACCAACTCAATATTAAAAAATAATCGACAAAGATAATTTAAAAAAAAATCATAAAAAAAACCTATGTGGAGAAACACTATAGTAATTACAAAACTAAATTCTTAATTGGTTTAATATTAAAAAAATAACATAGATAAATATAAATTTAAAAAATAAAAAAGTAAAATAGAAAAACCACGTGGAAAAACACCATACCAATCTATAATATATTAAAAAAAATTACAAAGAATTTTTTTTAACCAACTCAGTATAAAAAAATAAAATTGACAGAGATAATTTTTTTTTTTTAAAAAAAGAAGAGTAATACACTATAAGTGAATAAAAAAGTGAAAAAAGAGAGAATATCCTATGAATTATTATAATAATCCACAATGCAACAGGTATGGTGAACAGTGAATTCTTCGTACCCTTTAGTTTTATGTATAATAAGATAAAAAAAATAGTATTCAAGATTGCATGTATTATAAATATTATTTACAAATAAATAACTTTTATTTTTAAAAATAAAGTTTATGTATACAAGACACGAGAAAACAAATCATGTATGAATCATAATAATATCCTAAAAAATTAAATACACATAAAATAATTAAAAATAAAAACTATTTAAAAAAAGTAAGATAAAAATAATAATACAGTAGAGATATTAATTAATGCATAAATTAAAACAATGATTTGAAACAGACATTAAAAGGTATCAATTAAAATAAAAATAAAATTAGAATAAAACAATAAAAAAAAGGCAACAATAGCCTAGGTGATGCAAGTGTGATTTAAATAAATAAAAAAAGCAAACAACTCGAGTTATAGCATTTATCAGATTTAAGATATTGGTTTGATTTTAATTAGATGATGAAAAAACAAATAATGATAATAAACTTAAGTATTTTTTTTTTTTTAAGAGATCACTATAACTTGGAGAGAGAAAAAAAAAACCTTTAAAAGTGTGAAACTAAATAAAAAAGAGACAAGCATAACTAGTTTGGGTCAATCTAAAGTAATGTGATAAATATGTAATTCAAATAACAAAAACGAGTCAATTAGGGTTAATTTACAGAATCTGTGGTTCAAATTATAAGATTATAATAACCTGATAAAAAAAATTAAAGAAAACCATGAAATCAATATAAAAAAAATCAATGTTAAATGATAAAATTTAAAAAATAAGATAAATAATATTTTTTATCCATGTTAACTTTTCAAACTCATAACCTATATTATTAAACAAAAAACATAATACATAAAAAAAAATACAAAGCCTAATTCTCAGCAAATGAAACAATAAAAAAAAATATTAAATTGAAATAAAATTACAAAAAAAATCTAAAATAAAATGTGGTAATGAAATGAATGAGGGTGAAAATTAAAATAAAAGATAAACTAGAAGGCAACACAAAAGTTTCGATTTGAGGGTTAACATGGAAAAAAATAAAAAAAATAAGGATCAAATTGGATAAAACAATACACACAAAACTTGGATAAATTTTTTATAAAAGAACTAGGGAAAATTAGAAATAAAAAAATAAAAATCAAATTGAAAAAATAATATAAGATATATTTGAGTTAAATGACTAGATTGAAAATAAAAGAATTATAAAAAATTTAATAAAAAAATAAAAAAATAAAGATAAAAATTTAACAACAAAAATCCAAATGACCAACCTGTATTTCTTTTGGGGAGGATAGAGAAAATAAAAAAAAGACTCTTATACAACAAGTTGCCCAATGCATACTAAAATATGTTGTTTTAGGAGGAAAAGAATGTACTGACACCTTAATTAAGGTGATAAAATGTTAGATTTGGCCACTAAAAATATTGCACCGTTTTCATAAGTGCTGTATGCACTGATAATTTTTAAAAATTAAATATTAACTAATAAATTAAAAAACCAAATTACCTAATGGTTATGAAGTTGATAAGAAAATCAATGTAAAATGAAAATAATGGCCTTGAACGCATAACTTATTTTTTCTTGAATTTAAAAGTAAAAAGGTTTTATTATATTTTTAAAAGAAAAAAACTAAAATAATCTGATCAATATATTTAATATTTCCTTGAATTAGAGAATGATTTAATTATTTTATTGTTTTAAAATTTTTTAAAAATAAATATTTAATTTTTAATGACTAATAAATTATAAGAAAAGATAAGATTAGCCCAACTAAAATAATTTTTTTTTAAATAGCCAAAAAGTAGTATCAATATAGCAATGACTACTTTTTTTTCCCCTGGATGTATAATGTTTTTGCCACGTTTATTAGAGATTTTGTAATTTTGACAAACTATGATGATTAAGTTGTCATTAACTCAAAATTAATCAATAAAAGAATGAAAAAGGGTCAAGAACAGACAAGTACGACGCGTGGAGGGTTCATCTACAAATAGACAACAAGAGAGGTTCAAAATCGACTTTCTTGCAACTTCTTTTCCTCGACTTCGACAGTTTCCTCTTCTGTCAGAATCTTCAAACTGATGGACTGAGACGAAACCCTCGAGCAAAGTGCTAGTTATACTTTCACAAAAATGTATCCTTTTCTACTTAATCAAAAACACACTCTAACAATCCTCAAAACCCACAAAAGATATAACTTTATCACTCATCTTCTAAATCCTGCTTCTAAATCTAGCTTTAGATGTCTCCAAACAATAGAAACCTCTCAAAACCCGTATAAAGAACCATTTTCTGCAGCAACAACCCTGCCTGATTCTTTATTGGTGGAGAAGATCATCTTCAATTTAAAGCATGGTAATGTAAATTCTCTGCTTTCTTATCAACTTCGCTTGGACGCATCAGTTGTTGTTGATGTTTTACGTCGTTGTAATGGTAATTTGCAACTTGGTCAAAGGTTTATTGATTCGTTAGTGCTAAATGGTTCAAACTTTAAGCATTCATCCGTTTCATTGAGTGCAATGGTTCATGTTTTTGTTCGTAGTAGAAGATTATCTGATGCACAAGCTTTGATTCTTAGAATGATTAGGAGAAGTGGGGTTTCGAGGGTTGAGGTTGTTGAGGCTTTGGTATCATCGATATGTGGCAATTGTGGGACTAATAATTTGGTTTTTGATTTGTTGATAAGAACGTATGTGCAAGCTAGGAAGTTAAGGGAAGGGACTGAGGCGTTTAGAATTTTGAGGAGTAAAGGGTATTTGGTGTCTATAAATGCTTGCAATAGTCTTCTTGGAGGGTTAGTGAAGATAGACTGGGTTGAATTGGCATGGGAAGTGCATAGGGAAGTTGTTAGAAGTGGGATTGAATTGAATGTTTATACATTAAACATTATGGTCAATGCTTTGTGTAAAGATGGTAAATTTGATGATGTCAAGTCATTTTTAAGTGAGATGGAGGGACAAGGGGTTTATGCAGATATGGTGACTTGCAACACTTTAATTGGTGCATATTGTCGTGAAGGACTTTTAGAAGAAGCTTTTGAGATAATGAACTCTATGGCAGATAAAGGTTTGAAACCGAGTCTTTTTACATATAATGCTATTATAAATGGTCTGTGTAAAAAGGGAAGATATGCTAGAGCAAAGGGAATTTTGATTGAGATGCTGAACATTGGGTTGAGTCCTGATACCACAACGTATAACACATTGCTTGTTGAGAGCTGCAGAAGAGACAATTTTTCTGAAGCCAAAGAAATTTTTGGTGAAATGTTACGTCAGGGTGTTGTTCCTGATTTAGTAAGCTTTAGTTCCCTTATTGCAGTTTTTTCAAGGAACAGACACCTTGATCAGGCATTGGTGTACTTTAGAGATATGAAGAAATTTGGTTTGGTTCCAGATAATGTGATTTACACTGTTCTTATGCATGGTTATTGTAGAAATGGCAATATGTTGGAGGCATTGAAGATACGGGATGAAATGCTGGAGCAGGGTTGTGTCTTGGATGTGGTTGCATACAATACTATATTAAACGGGTTGTGCAAAGAAAAGATGCTCACAGATGCAGATAAGCTGTTCGATGAGATGGTGGAAAGGGGTGCACTCCCTGATTTTTACACTTTCACCACACTTATTCATGGCCATTGTCAGGACGGGAATATGACTAAAGCACTAAGCTTGTTTGGGACAATGACTCAAAGGAATATCAAACCAGATATCGTGGCATACAATACATTGATTGATGGGTTTTGCAAGGTGGGTGAAATGGAGAAAGCCAGTGAGTTATGGGATGGTATGATCTCTAGGAAGATTTTCCCCAACCACATTACATACGGCATATTAATAAACACGTATTGTAGCGTGGGCCATGTGTCTGAGGCCTTTAGATTGTGGGATGTGATGATTGAAAAGGGTATTAAACCCACCCTTGTCACTTGTAACACTGTTATAAAAGGCTACTGTCGGTCAGGTGATTCATTGAAGGCTGATGAGTTCTTGGGCAGGATGATTGCTAAAGGAGTTGCTCCTGATCATATTTCGTATAACACCCTTATTAATGGTTTTGTGAGAGAAGATAATATGGACAAAGCTTTTCTTTGGATTAATAAGATGGAAAAAGAAGGTCTGTTGCCTGATATTATCACGTATAATGTAGTTATGAATGGCTTCTGTAGGCAGGGTAGGATGCAGGAGGCTGAGCTGGTCTTACAGAAAATGACTGAGAAAGGGATAAATCCCGATAGGTCCACATACACAGCTTTGATAAATGGACACGTCACCCAGGACAACTTGAATGAGGCATTTCGATTCCATGATGAAATGCTTCGAAGAGGATTTGTCCCTGATGATGTTTTTTAATTTGATCACCATACTGCTGCCTCTCATTGTTGATAAAGGCCATGAACCCTGGACAACTTGAGAGTTCAGTTTCATGGTAAAATGCTGCTAAGCAGATCCATTCCAGCAGACAAATCCTTGTTATTCAGTTCTTACAGCCTTTGTACTTGCTGGACTCAGTTGTCTCTTTGCCAGGTGGGGTATCTTAACTCCTAACTCTATATTCTTCATTCTATTTTCTGCAATATTATATCACAACCCATGCCACTGAAGTCCATCATTTCTTTTGCATGTTCTTGGTAGAGATGCTCAGAGAGTTTAAAAAACAGAGGTTGATTTCATTTGTGTGAGGTGCTCCATTTTTGTTCAATCATAGATGCTCTTGACGAAGGTGAGGTTAAGTGGATTTGAATGGAAAAATATGTTGAGTTGATTTTGAGTGGTTTTGTAGTTTTCTTCCTTGCCCTCCACTGTGTCGCTAACTTCTTACCATAGTTTTTATGCCAATTTTTCTATTTCAGGTTTAAAGAGCCTTGTCTATCAACTGTGAGCAAGGGTGTTATCTAAACTCTTGGTGTTAAGTGTGAGCATAGCTGATAAATTCCATTAAAAAAACTATTATCTGCGGTGAATTCAGAGTTATGTGGATGAGAACAATGAATTTACCACTTTACCCTTAAAAAAAAAGCCTTTTGGCTAGACTTTGAGGGCATGGTTGTCTTTTTAGTGGGGGCATTTTGGCATTTTTAATTGATAGAGGGCACGAGAGGTGTTTACTTAAAATTGCGTAAATTATCATAAATATCCTTAAAATTTATGTTGTTGAGGGGTAGATTTGTATATTTTGGTTGGCTAGGAGTGGTGTTTTTATCTTATCATTTTTATTTGTACAATAAAAATACTTCCTTTTAAGGGTATTTCGGTTATTGCACTAGTAATTTTTATGTTATTGTTGGGTAGAGTGAGAATTAGTTTTATCTTTTAATAAATTAACAGGATTTAAAAAAAAGATTGTGTGTTTGGCGCGTGTTAATGCGTCGCCTGCTCTATTGTCTTCATGCATCATGTGCGGCTGTTTTCAGCAAGTAAAAATGCCATTTTATGGTGTTATTAAATTTGTCTTGATTTTTTTTTTTTTATAAACATGATGTATGTAGATAATAAAGTTTTGGTTTAGTTGTAATGATTATTTTTTTTCTTTTTTTTCTCCCTTGATTCTTGTGCTCTACCAGACAAATTTTCAAATAGTCTTGTAACTTCTTTTTGTTTTTTATTTTGTTTGTGATTTTTTAATTGATATTTATTTTATTTTAAATAACTCATAAAAATCAAAATTTGTTTCTGTTTCAGTTTTATTTGATTTTTTTTCTTCTCTTTGTTTTTGATTTAATTGTCTATTTTTTTTTGATAATTTTTTATCTGAAATAATTTATGAAAATTGAATTTTTTTAAATTTCATTCTAATTTGATTTTTTAAATTTGTTTTATTTAGTTTTTTGTAAATTGTTATTTATGTCACCTAAGATAATTTTTACAGTGTAATATTTTGGGTGATTTTATCCTTGAGTATTTTTTTTCTTATTAAATTTTGTTTTTTTTATTTTAATTATTTTCTACTTTGCTATCTTTTTTTTTGCTTTTTAATTTTTTATATTTAATTTTATTTTAAAAAATTGAGTTGATTTGAATTTGAATTTTTTGATTAATTTCATTTTGAGATTTCCTTGATTTTATTTTGGAGAATTAACCCTCTTGATGTTTGCTAGGAGTTGTTTTTTTTTTTTTTATCATTCGTTTAACCTATTTTATTTTTTAAAATCTTATTTTTTGATATTTATTTTATTAGAGATTAAACTTTTTATATATATATATATTTTAATTTGGTTGGGTTATCTAGATTTATTTTTGATTCTGTTCTTTATTATATATGTTTTCTCAAAATAATTTGTTTTCTTGAATGATTGAATATTTAAGGATAACTTATTTTAATGTGATTTGTAAAGTTTGATAGAGCATTGTTTTAGCGAATCATATAGTTT